AAAATATCGCTTTCAATACAAGAGCGCCGAAAGCCCGAAGAAAAGCTGGTTTTAGTCCGACATTTGATTTGTTTAGATGTACTCAACTGTTTTGCGGCCAATATTTATGAAGCCTTTTGTCAACAAATTGATCAATAAATTGTGACAATCGTTCGCTTAATTATCCTATTATTTCGTCCATTTCTATGGGAATGTATTCAATTAGAGCTCACTTTTTGTGAGAAAATCTTTGGTTTAATTGTTTTTAATCATAAATTATAAGAATTGAAACTAAATATTTCTAAATATCATAATTCTTTGGACATTAACTTAAAATACTTTTTAGTTTTATTTTCGATTGTAAAATGATTGTAATATAAACTTATATTGAAAACCTATTTGTATTAAAAGTTATTTTTTTATTTAAATGTTTGATTTATTATTAATTAAAAGATTGGGTTTCCTTTTTCGCAATTGATGTTTTCAAATAGTGTTACCATTTTGTAAATATTCAAAACAATTCATTAATCGATACCTTAATTATGTTTAAGTTAAATATCATTGTATTTAACATTTTAGTACTTGTATTGATAACAAAATGTTTGTATTTTATAAATATTAAAATATTCATTAATGAATTCAATGATTAACTATAGGTTACGGACAGCAAAAGTCTCAACAAAAAAGCGACTCAAAAGGTATTCAAGAATCCATTGAATTTAGTTTTGAATTAATAATAAAACAAATGCTATGAATGGGAAGAAGTGGTAAACGCGGAACAGATTCCAGACGATGAGGAGGTCGTGGAAGAGGTGTACGAAGAGGTCGGCGACGGCGACAGTACAGAAGTGGTCACTGAAATAATCACTGAAATCATAACCGAAATCATAGAAAAAGCCAACAAAAAACCTCAACCAAAGAAAAGTGGATCAATTGGTGGCAACAAATCCACTGCTGGTTCCAAACCTGAAGAAGAATTTGAAACAGAAGTGATCGAAGAAGTGGTAGAAGTGGATGAAGACAATGGCGAAGTGGTGGACGACAATTCTTTGCCCGAATCCAAGACTATTGACGCAAACAAAGTGTCAAAATTGTGGAAACAGTTCCCAAACGGAGGAAATAGTATGAGAATTAAGCACTGATTTTGTTTGCGATAATTATTTCTTAAACTTTTTAGTGAAATACAGAAACACTTTATTAGTGCCGAAGAGAGAGCGGCGAGTGATAGCCCGGTATAGAGTGGTTATACCAGTGATTGTGCCCAACGTTAGGGTAAGGGTTCCCATGAGGTCTCGGACGGGAACCGATGGCAAGACTCACGCGAAGAACTCGAAGAATTAAATGATAAAGTTTGAGAAATAAAGTTTTACTTCATTCATAAATAACGACAATTATATGTGAATCAAACGTTTTGTTTGTATAACTCTTTAAAAGCCATCGCAATGTTATAGAGTTGCGGGTAATTCACGAATAGTTTGAAACTTCTAGAAAATTAGTAAAAATTGCGTTAAATTTATCAAATAATTGAATTAACTTTAAAAACACATTAAACTCATCACAACTAACATAAAATCAATACATCACTCGTTATAAACGCTTTCATACATAGAAAATACACGAAAACAATAGTATAGGCGTTGTATAGCCCGGAGTCGACACTCTGTACGCGCACTGCAGAGCACATGTGCTGTCAAATGAATGGCATTAATATAACAGTAAAAAGCATTGGAAAAGCCTATCGACTATTGAATACACAATTGCATCAGATTTTGTGCGTTTAAAACACACACCGTTTGAAAGTACAGTATATTTGTGTTATTTTACACACAATTTAGTTAATTGTCATTTGATTTACACTACAATTAAACTTCAATTCAATTGAAGACAACATATAATCAGTGAATATATACAAAATGTTGTTCAATATAATCGGATCCCAATGTCTTCGTGCGGGCAAATCGCCAGCCATTCATCAATTCAGACACTTATCCTCTCAGACAAGACTTACCACTTATAACGTAATGATTGACACAAATATCTAACCACTGATTGTCTTAATTATCATTACATTTATCTAATCCAATGCAGAATATAGTGTTGGCCGGCAATCGGCACGAATACATTCAGCGGCGGTACGCAAGCGATGCCAAAGTGCAGGGAATGGTAATCGGCATCGATTTGGGAACCACTAACTCATGTGTGGCCGTAATG